ATCTTAAAATTTATTCGGATTAATTAGTTCAGGTTATCCCATATTAATTTTCTCCATTACCAAAAAAAAAAAAAAAAAAAAAAAAACAATGAATTTTTGGAAGGTGAGTCGTTATGCGTTGGACCCGTGTCCAGCATGCTTGCTGGACACGGGCAACAGTGCCGTTAGGCACTGTTATCTCTTTTTTTTTTTTTTTTTTTTTTTTTTTTTTTTTTTTTTTTTTTTTTAATTTCAGACCGCTTCATTGTAAGAGTATATATTCATAATTTTATTCCTATATGTTAATAACTATACATTCATAACTCCATAATTGTACGTTCATAACTCTATAACTGTACATTCATAACTCCATAACTGTATATTCATAACTCCATAATTGTACATTCATAATTTTCGAAGCTCTATGTTCACAATTTTAGAGCTCTATATTCATAATTTTATCACTATATGTTCATAATTGTAAGTTCATAATGTTAGAGCTCTTTGTTCATAATTCGATCAATAACTGTACATTCATAATTCCATACTGTAGATTCATAATCTCATAACTGTAGATTCATAACTCCATAACTGTAGATTCATAACTCTATAACTGTACATTCATAACTCCATAACTGTACATTCATAATCTTCGAAGCTCTATATTCACAATTTTAAAGCTCCATGGTCATAATTTTATCACTATATACGTTCATAATGTTAGAGCTCTGTGTTCATAATTTCATAATTGCATAACTGTATATTCATAACGGCATAACTGTACATTCATAACGGCATAACTGTACATTCATAATCCAAAAAAAAAATAACGCTGTTAAAGGCAAAACGAGCGCGATTTTTTTTTTAAACTAAATGACGCGTTTTTTTTAAAAAACGACGTCGTTTTGGACCCGTGTCCACAATTCAATGTGGACACGAGTCCAGGGCATAATTTGCCAACTATTAAGCCTTGGGCTTTTGTACAGTTGTGCGATGAGGGCTCTGGAAAAAGGAAATGCTTATTAGTTACTACATTGCACGTGACGGAGTGCTAAGCCACGAGGCGCATGATTTGCCGTATGGCACTTGTTGCGGGTGTGGGCCTACCATCCATTTTCTTTCATTTTTTTTTTTGAATACTACTAGCTCTATTACATTGTAGTATCTATTCATATACTTTCTCAACTTACTGAAACACGAAGAGCTAATAACGCCTCCACTAAGGCTCGAACTTACAACCTTCCAAATAGAAGTCCAACCCTGGTACCATTAGACCACATAGTCCATTTTCCTTCATACTCTCAACAAATTCATAAATGCAACCAATATTAGAAAGTAGAACTCTTTTTAATTGGGTGTTTGGTAGGATGAAATTACAATGCTATTTTTATTAAATTTCATGGAATTGTAATTTCATGATTTGATGGGAGGGAATTACAATTCTAATGGTTCAATTTCATTATAAATTACCATTTCATCCTCATTATCATTATTATATTAATATTATATAAGGACATTTTAGTATTTATGTACCTCTTTTTTCTCAATTTTTCATTAGGGATGTTAATTAACCGAACATAAACGAACGGGGGTTGTTCGTGTTCGTTTGTTAAGGTTTTTTGAGTGTTTGTGTACGTGTTCGTTTGTTAAGGTTTTTAAAATCATGTTCGTATTCGTTTGTTAAGCGTTCATTAGTGTTTGTTAACGTTCACGAACGTGTTTGTTAACATTAACGAACACATTCACGAACATGTTCATTAACATTATTGAACATGTTCACGAATGCTAAATAACCAAACATATGGACATGTTCAGGATCACAATTCGTTCGTGAACAATAAATAATATATGTTCGCGAAAAATAACCAAACAAGTAACACAACTACAAAGAGAATACGTAAAAATTCGTAGAAGAGATCAACATAATTGAAAATACGTACAAAAAATTGATTTTTTTTTTTTTTTTTTTGCAGAAAAAAAAAGTGACTAAAATAGCAAGTTAGATGAAAAAAAAAAACATGTAAGCATTTTGTTCTTATTTTATTTTTCCATGTAAGCAAATTAGATGTGTTAATTGTTAAAAACTTGTTAAAAATGATAAATAAAAAATAATTTAGAGTATAATAGCTCAAATGGACCATATTTTAATTCATGGTGCTAAATAAACAATCAATGTTAGTACATGGTTTTAGAGATATTAAGTTCCCCCACCTGGTCGTATATCTAGGAAGAGAGCCGAATGGTCCGATCTCCTCGTCAATATATTATAGACCCGAGCTCCCTCCACCACCTCACGCCACCCATCACTCGCCACAACTCTATCAAACTTCTCCTCCACCCAATTCTCCGTGCCTTCCCCTTTTTCCCAGGTAAACTGATACCCAATCATTGGGATCTGCGCCAGTCCACAGTCCTCCAGAACCAAGAATTATAACAGAAAAGCCACCATACCTTGGCGAGGTGAAAGTTTCGGCGTTGATAGACCCGGCATCCTCTACCTGGGATATCCCTTTGCTTAATGAATTTTTTACGGCTGAGGATGTGGAGCGTATTTCAGAAATTCCTATTAGTCCTGCCTATGATGATATGTTGTATTGGCATGGGGACCCAAAGGGAGTTTATACAGTAAAAGCCGCTTACCGTAATTTAATGGGAACCGTTATTATACCCCAGAATGGTTTCTCATCTTGGAATAGAATTTGGAACCTGAAGGCACCTCCTAAGTGGAAGGTTTTTTTGTGGAGGGCGGTGAGAGGAGTGCTACCCACAACCACGAATTTATATAATAGGAGGGTAGAAGTCCCACTAGCATGCCCATTGTGTGCTCTTTGTCCTGAAAATATTTTACACTCTTTGGTTCAATGTGACTATTCTAAATGTGTATGGGATATTTCGGGCTTTGTTGTGCAGAGTACGGTGGATGATGACTTTGGCGTATGGCTGGAGTTATTACTACAAAATATTGATGAAACTCAATTTGCTGCTATGGTGGCCATTATGTACAATATTTGATTACAACGGAATACGGCGGTGTGGGAACGTAAAATGGATAAACCGCGGCTCGTGTATGAGAAGGCGTTGGCGTCGCTGTCCGCGTGGCGTGCGGCTACGTTACGCACGGAGAGGCAGTAGCAGATCACCACACATTCGGCCGCTACTGGACAGCATACTGTCGCCGCTGCTGGGCAGTCTACGGCGTGGCCCTCCTTTGATGCAGCATATACGGCGTCAACAAGGGAGGGAACATTTGGCATTGTTCTACAAGATGCAAATGGGAATTTTATCGCAGCCAATAACGGCCCTTTACCGTTATGTCAGGGACCATTTATGGCGGAGACTTATGCTTGTAAGGAGGCCCTGTCCTGGCTCAGGGATCGTGTGTCACAGAGGTGGTGTTACGGTCAGATTGTTCAAATCTGTGTCACGCACTTGGAATTTCAGCGACGGAGTTTCGCACGTATGATGGTTTAGTTGTTTCAGCATGTCGAGACTTGATGAACTCTTTAGTTTCCTGTTCAGTTATTTATATTCCTCGTACTTTGAATGTTATAGCTCATTCGTTAGCTCAGTCAGCCTTGTTACAGGCGAACTCTTTGGTGCGAGAGGATGATCCTCCTACCTTTATTTCGGCTTTGATCAATTAATATATGCAGCAGTTTACTTTCAAAAAAAAAAAAAAAAGTTTCCAGACGGACCAAGGGGTTTGGAGACTAGGGTGGTACTCCTTCCTTTATTTGTGATGTTCTGATTTCTGAATTCTGGATAATGCTAGTTTCCTTTGTTTTTTTTTTTTTTTTTTTTTTTTTTTTTTAACAAATTATAAAGATTTTATGCAATTCCTTCTTAGGTTAATAATTCATTGCTCAAATGGATATTCTAAAATATGGAATTAAATGTCATTTAAAATTCATTCAAGAATATCCATTTGAGCAATGAATTATTAACCTAAGAAGGAATTGCATAAATTATCCATTTGAGCAATAAATTATACCAAAAATGAAAAATACTCATACATAATTTATGGAAAGTGTTACTTGTATTTTTAGAAATATAAAATCTTATCAAAGTATTTGTATTGATTTTTTTGTTGTGTGTGTGACAAGATAACACATCCACTATCCCATAGCCTGTAAACCACATATGAGAGATAAATTGCACAGAGATAATATTAACAAGAATCAAACTCATAACTTTTTAGTACGAGAATCATGTTTCACATACTCGACCACTCATTTATGTGCTATTTGTATTGATTATTTGATTAAATAAAAAAAAGTATAAGTTCTATTACATGTACTATCAAATTTTACTCAATTACTTTTACTCCATGACGTGAAAAATAAGGATATAATATTTTCATCACGTGTGTTTCAAGAAAAATGTCTACATCAAGAATTTGTGAAAGGGAGTAGAAGTTGGAGGTATGAAGTAGGACTACATGTCGTATTTTTTAAAAAGTATTGACTATAGTAGTAGTATATGTTCTATACTTTCGCTAACAGAGCGTTTAGACATTCATTTTAGGTTAAAAAAGAAAAGGGTAATTTTGTCTCATCAGTATTTTTTTTCTTCCTAAAATCTCAGGAATTAAAATACCAGGAGGGACATGAGATTTTAATTCCATAAAAATGGGGGAATTGCAATTCCCTCCAACCAAACTACGGAATTTAATGGCCTTTGGAATTAGGTGGGAATTAAGTGGGAAGTGAATTTAAAATCCCTCCAACCAAACGCTCTGTAAGTAATGTAGACCAAATAGTCAATACCATCGCACCCCACTACCAGGTTCTCGATTATGTGATATTCGAGTCACAAAGGTGACATTTAAGCACAAGGTGTTTGACATTTCCATTTTTAAAACTGAGTAAATGCACAATTTAAATTTTTATTTTTTATTTATTGATTTTTTTCCCGGTTAATAAAGTCACCCCATTTCACTATCTTCGTTCCGTTCCGTAACGGCGAATCTTTGCACGGAGTTTCAACCGCTCCATTACAAAATCTCACTAAAGCCTTTACTACTACTGAAAGTCTGAAACCACCAGCCCACCACCTCAACTAATCTTCCATTTCTCTCTCCCTTCAAACCAACGATTTCCTGTAAGTTTCTCTCTCTACAATGTATGTATATATTTTATACATACTGTATGTGTGTTTATATTTTTGCTATTTTTAATAGATTTATTGCTTTTAAATTTGGAGTAAATTGTACGTTGTGTCCTTGATCACTGCTGTTACATCTGGAATTCGTACATTTAGTTGATTATTTCTGATTTTCTGAGCAATGCGATTCGTGTAATTGAAGTTTTTCCGGTCGTTTTGGTGGTTACATGGTGGCGTATGTGCGTGTATATAGGTACTGGTACAGAGGAGGAAGTACTTGTTTGGTAGACATAGGTGCATACATCCTTACCTATAAGCGTCTTTTCAGAGTGTGGATCTGTTGAGTTGAGGTATTTTTTAGTGAATGTTTGATTTCGGTTTTCACATTTGCGTTGCTGAATGTTTGTTTGGCTCGAGTTGTCTGCAAGTGATTGTTTGCTTTTGGGGGGATTTGAGTTGAAATCGAGCACTGTTTAGTTGATGATTTTAAGAACGACAATTGAAAAATATGAAATTATTGGTTCATTTTCGCTGTATCTGAATTGCATTGAGCTTTTTCTTTTTGCCCATTCCTCTTGACATAAGAGTGTGGATTTAGATTTCCTGATTGCCAGTAGTAAGTTGTAGTGTGGTTACATCATAGGGATTTCAGGTGAGGAAGAATGACAGGCAGACAGCTGGTGGTGATTCAGCCTCCTGAACTCAAGTTCACTTGTAAGTTCATTAAAATTTGTTGTCTGATTATGAGAGGAAAAACCTTGGCATTCATTCAATTTTTGTACTTTGCTATCTGGATCATGTAGTATTTCATGGCTATTGAGTGAAGAAAATCTTTATCTCCAAAGGAAAAAATCGATGTACTTGTGACTTAAAATGATTAATTTCATTTGGATGATAGATCATCTGTGAAGTGTAATGAGGATTTCAGTTTTGTGATTGACAGACATATACTAAATCTGTTGCACAGCTATGATTCAGCTATATCACTGCAGATTACACTGCTTAACTCTCCATGCTTTCTGCTTGTGTTCCAGAGGAACTGGCCCTGCTAATAGAACATATATATTACAAATTTTATAGCTTGTTTGGCCTTATCTTCTTTTATTCTTGGTGGCACATTATTTATGTTTTAGTAATTTGCGGAATGAGTGATTTGAGACTTGTAGGCTTTGTAGCTGCTAGTAGCCTAGTATGTTTTGTATCAGTATGAAGTATGAATATCATGGTTCTTTTCTCTGCCTGTTTTGCCTTGTTTGATCATCCTTTTTAACATCTTAAGGTTATTCTGTCTTTCTCTGTTATGTTTTTCATATATTATAAGCTTACCATTAGATGTATTTTGTGCCTTTCATAATTTCATTTGAATGCTCTTATGTTCTGACACTCTTTTTCTTGTTTTAGTTGAGGTGACGAAACAAAGCTCATGTGTTGTTCACTTAACCAACATTACAGATCAATATGTAGCTTTTAAGGTGAAGTGAATTTCAATTTTTACCAAATGATGTGGGGTTTCTATGGAATTAATTTCTGCTCATTCCAATTATTTAATTAATCTTGTACCTCGCTCATCTGTATGTGACTGTTCTCTAACAGAAATAAACCCTGATACAAGTTATGTAACAATGATTCCTTTTTATTTCCCTTTATTGAAGATGTTATGTGAGAATGAGTGCATTCCACTCTTTTCTATGTAGACCAATGGCAATCTGGTTATTTTGTAGGTGAAGACAACATCACCTAAGAAATACTGTGTGCGACCCAATATAGGCATCATCAAGCCAAAAGCAACACTTGATTTCAGAGGTATACGAATTCCCCTATTTTATGTTTCTTATATAGTGTGTAAGTTTCAGCAATTATGCTTATATCTGGGTATACTGCTTTTATGTGAGTTCTTGATCTATATTTAGGAACAAAGTACAAATATCTATTGGAAATTTAGCCTTGTTAAGTGTTGTGGCATTGTATTTCCAACAAACAGCTGTGTTGTATTTAAGTGTACTGTTATTATTATTATTATTATTATTATTATTATTATTATTATGAGAGTACTGGCTTTATAATAGAATGAATGCTGTAAAATTTATCTCAAACTTAACCTAATGCTCTCTTTTAGGAGGGCACCTATTTGGGATGACTAAAATCTTTGTGATTCCATACTCTATCTGCACTGACATCTAATTTATGTGCTCCAGAAGCTACAGACTAGTATCCATTTTTCTCATCAGCTTTTACTGACTATTCTAATATATATCAGTTTGTGTTTCTTAAATGTCCTAACCGGCACATATCTTCTTTTGTAATGAAGTTACTATGCAAGCTCAGAGTGCAGCTCCATTTGATATGCAATGCAAGGATAAATTTTTGGTTCAGAGCACAGTTGTCCCCTTTGGGAAGATGGAGGAAGTTATGCCTGAAATGGTAACATTCTGATACCACAATCAATGTTCTATTACTATTACTATCTAGTTGTTTCTCAATTTAAATATTTTGTTCCTCTCATTAGTTCGCAAAAGATGAAGGGAAGTACATCCAAGAGAACAAGTTAAGGGTCTTTCTGATCAGCCCACCTCAGTCTCCAGTTTTGCAGCCTGTTAATGGAGTCCTAAAGGAAGAGTCTCCAGACAATACTTCGATTTTGAAGGAAAAGTTGCCAATTGGAGTTGAAAACCTACCTCCACCTCATACGGTACTATAATAGATCATTGTAACTTAACCTCCATGCAAATAGTTAGCCAAATTTGGATAAGTAGTGTTGTTTCTTTGTCTTGTGAGTTTAAAATAAGCCATCAGAAAAAGTTACAACTCCAGACAAATCCATCTCCGGTTTCACACTGTTGTGCCTGTATATTGTTGTAACTCTGTTTTTTTTTTTTTTTTTTTTTTTTTTTTTTTTTTTTTTTTTTTTTTTTTTAATTTTATTTTTAATGAACTGATAGTATTATCAGATATAACTCTGTAGTAAGTTGTCATTGCCATTGTAAGTCTTAACCAATAGACTCCAAGGCAGTCTCATTCTTGAAATGGTCTTGATGTGAAATAGAGTAATAGACTACAGAACCAGACAAATGTTTTCTTGCTAACACATTATGCTGAATTTCCAATGAACGATCTGAATTTGTTTCCCAATGCAGCTAATTGATAACAGTGAGGATACCAAAAATGCTGCTGGCAAAGAGGATCCAAGGTTAGGAAATGTTATGGAAATTGCAGACTTGGCACATCCTAAGAATGATATCAGTAGTGATGAGCTTGCAGAATCAAGTTCTTTGGAGGATGTTACTACAATGAAAGTGACGTTTTCCAAAAACTTTGAGGAGATGAAGGCAAAACTAGGTGTAGAGCGAAGATCTGTGGAGGATGTGGAAACAACAAACGTAACGTTTTCCAAAAACTTTGAGGAGATGAAGGCAAAACTAGGTGTAGAGCAAAGATCTGTGGAGGATGTGGAAACAACAAATGTAACGTTTTCAAAAGACTTTGAGGAGGTGAAGGCAAAGCTAGGTGCAGAGCAAAGATCTCTGGAGGATGTGGAAGCAACAAAAGTAACATTTTCAAAAGACTTTGAGGAGTTGAAGGCAAAGCTAGGTGTAGAGCCAAGATCTGTGGAGGACATGGAAACAATAAAAGTGACATCTTTAAAAGACTTTAAGGAGTTGAAGCCGAAGCTAGGTGTAGAACCAAGATCTCTGAATGGTTTGGAATCAATAAAAGTAGCATTTTCCAAAGACACTGAGGAGTTGAAGCCAAAGCTACAGGCAGAGTTAATATCATCTGAGGATGTAGAAACAAAAAAAGTAACATTTTCCAAAGACATTGAGGAGTTGAATGCAAAGCTAGGTGCACTGAATTCAAAGCTAGGTGCACTGAATTCAAAGCTAATTGAGGTTAATATTCTCTTTCTTGATTTATCGATTCCCGCTTTCCTAATTTGGCCAACATTCTTATTACTGAAGGAAATTTTGCAGTTTGGTCCTTCACAATCTCCTCTTCCTTAATTTCAAGTGTTGCTACATATTGCCCATTTGTTTCATTATTCATCAGAATGCATGAACTAGGAACTTATGAAATGTTCATTACAGGCGGAACATGCAATTTCAAAGCTAAACCAAGAAAAGGAAAATATTGCTCTAGAGAAGGAAAATCTAAAGCGGGAATTGGTCTCTCTCTCTCTCTCTCTCTCTCTCTCTCTTATCTTTCTCTCAACTATGAATGGGATTATTATAGAAATCCAATGTCTATTGACTGTTTTCCTTGATAATAACCAAGGCAGCGTTAGGCGGCAAATTATACTGTGGACCATGATCTACAGTGTAAGGTGGATCACACATAAATGTTCATTTTTAGTATATTGAATGTTCATTTTTTAGTTAGTATATTAAAAATGAACTTACAGTACATTAAAAGTTAACCTTAAAAAATTGAACATGTACGTTAGTGGTACACCTTGCAATGTGGACCATGGTCCCCAATATAATGATTGGTGTATTGCTACCAAAGATTGTTGTATTTCTGTAAAATTTGGGGTTTTGATATTTTGCAGGTTTTGTTTAGGAAAAAGACAGGTGTAAGGAAAGTTCAAGTGGGATTTCCCCCTCTATTTCTTTGCATGACAGCACTGGTAGGTTTGGCTGTGGGGTTCCTCTTGCGTGCTTAATGGAAGAGAACGTCATGATTCCAGACCGGGTTGTTGGAAGCTTTTCGGAAGTTAAGTTAAACCCCTTTACTCACTCTTAAACATGTGTAACTGTAGCAGTGGTATTGTACTCTTGTCGATTATTCAAATGGGGAAATGCTTTCCTGAATTGAATGGTGAAGACTGAAGAGGTCCTTCTATATTTTTTTAATAAGATAAATATTGCATGTGAAATGTGTTCCTAGCAATAGCAACCCAAAAATGAAGTTTTTATTTTAAAATGTTCAGTTTAGTTCTTACTGTTAATTATCTGTTACAAAATGTTTTGTTATTGTACCATATGTAACTTTAATCGGTTGCAACTTGCAAGTTATTAGATAATACAGAGTAATAAAATAAAATGGAGTTATACGGTTATACCATCTCCAATCTAAAATATTATTTTGCACCAAATTTTATAATATTTTCTGAATATTTTATATCTAAAATTTGTATTTTCTGAATATTTTATATCTAAAATTTGTATTTTCTGAATATTCTACACAATATTATTTTATATTTTAATTATTTTAATATAAAATATAATTTTGATATAAATAATACAAAGTAAAGTAATATTTTTAAATAAAATTTATGTTTTTATGTATTTTATTACTTAATTAATTTATAGTCAATATTGTTATTGTTTTGAACGTCTCAATAAGATTTTTCTTTATAATTTTTGAAAGGAAACAATAAAAAAAAGGTTTTAAAAAGGTCACCATTGGTAGAACCAAACTGAGAGTTAACAACATAAAGAAAGATGGATTTGTGTCTTCCTTGCAATAAATAAAATAAATCAATAAATAAAAATTCAGAAATGTTTAAATACAACATGGAGACGTTTACATACAAATTACACACCCATTTGGTGGTTTATAGAAAGGCCTCTGAATTGGGAATTTAGCAAATGCCATATACTGATGAATGGCTCAGTGTTGCCCACAGTAAAGAACTAACTGAAAAGTGAAATCATACCAAAAATAAGCACACTTCTACTTGCCAATCTATAAAGTCGACACCCTAATGCTATCATTGCTGATTTACTCAGACATACAAAAAATATTAACAGGAAACAAAACTACAAAATGCAACCAAAGTAAAACTTTTTTCCCATGTCGAGGATGGGCGGGCAGATAGTGCACTCTTTCAGTGCGCCCATTGTTGTTCATTCTGTTCACGGGGCATATAGTGTAGTACAGTGCTTCTCTTTCACTGCCATTGTGGTTCATTCTGTTCAGTAGGTGAGCCAGGGACATATGGTACAAAGCCTCGTCCACCAAAGACAGGTCGCATGAATGCATCGTCGAATTTTCTCCAATAGTAGTGGGCCGTGTGAGATGGTGTTGTCAGCAGCATGCGCAAGCTGTTTGGACGTGGCACATGGCCATCTAGGTCGGCCTCTGAATCCAGAAGAGGCACAGTGAAGGATTTTGGAGTGACTGGTTCAGAAGACACCATTCTGTTTAGGTGTTTTGGTGTGGGCAGCAAGACCCTGATCAAAGGTTTGGTTATCAAACCAAAAACCTGTACGAGCCCCAACAGGATTTAGATGCAAGATCCTATTAATATTAATTAAAAAGGACAAAGAATCACTAGATACTTTATCGTATAGTTTCAATGAACAATTGATTGGATAATTAGACAAGGAGCACCCCAACATTGGTTTCATGCCATATTCTATATTCTCTTTGGCCCTATTTGGTAAATGGCAAATCCGCCAATTTTTTGCGTTTTAACACAATCAGTTAACCGCGAACAGCCAATTGCCAAACATGGCTATTTGGTTTGAATTAGAACCATTGACAACTTTTGCCAAAGACAACACTTGTTGTTTTTGTTTTTTATTGTGCACTCTCTTTAGATTTATTTTATACCACATGAAAATATTGAAGTAGCGGCCACGTGAACAATCACGTCAAGGCCTGTGTTAACTAAAATATAGGCTGGTTATCATTGTTGTGGTATACAGAGTAAAACTGCTTTAATGATATATACTGGCACAGCAAAATGTTAACTGAAGATGAGAGTGCCTTACCACAGTGCTGAAAAGAACAACTGTAATTGTGCTCGTGATCATTATTGCATTCTCACGTAACTGGGTGTAGCCAGACCTTGTAAACTGCAGAATATTATGTAAATAAATTAAGATAAGAAACCTAGTCCTCAAGGCACTCCCGCAGCGATGATATGATGGGAAACTACTGAAAGGTAGCATAAGTAGAACTATAATTGCTAGTCTACGTTTATATGTCCATTATCTGCATCAGACAACATATTCATCAAATATAGAGAGCCACACATCTTACCTGGTTATATGCAAGAGCCATTGAAACAGCACCTCGCATAAGCCCAGCCCACCATATTATAAACTGTAAAAGTAAAGTAAATCAGTGAACCATATAAATAGAAAAATAAGCACAAGTTGGATGTTTTAGACTCATACCTGCTGCCTAAATCCAATCTTTTCACCCCGGGACTTCTTGATCAAGTTGGACAAAAATGATAAGGGGAATACAAAAGCTGCTCTTCCAACCAAAACCAGACCCAAAAGTATTGAGCTAACCTCAACTGATGTTCCGGGGCTGAAATGAAAGAATTGTGAAAAGTAAGGCATCCACCGAGCAATTGTTAAAACTCCATCTATAAATAGTTTTACCATGAGACAAGCTTCTTAAATGATGGAAAGCATACCTGTCACTTACAAACTTCCATTTTTCAATGTCTAAAGCATCCATTCCAACATAAAGGAATATAAATATCTCAGCAATAAACGACAATGTAGCAAATGCATGCCTGCAAAATAAGTTGAACACAATACATTAAAGATAGTCACCACTACAACTTCTAATCTGCTTCCAGAAAAAAAAAAAAAAAAAAAAAAAAAAAAAAAAAAAAAAAAAAAAAAAGCAGCAGAGAGTAACTCGTAAATAACTTGAGATTGTTATAGAATGACATACTTGGTTGTGACTCTAGAACTTTCAGTGACATTGTGCCAGGTGTAATGTGACATCACAATCCCAGAGAAGAAGACAGTGAGGATGGCACTTAAAGAAAATAACTGCAAAATATTAATTGTCAGTGCAAGAATAATTACACTCCTAATTACTCCATGAAAAATAATAAGAAACTAAATTTAACAGAGTTGGGGATGTTTAGGAACACTTACTTCAGAGAGCATATATGATAAATAAGCCATACAAATCATAATAGCAACCTCACGATCAGTGGAATGCCTAGAATACACAACACAGTTAGCAATATGTAGTAGTTTTGTTTTAAAAATAAAAAATAAAAGAAAACAAAGTGACATGTTAATTGCTCCCAGACATTTGTGAGTTCTTTCTTTGGCATACAGAATCTGATGCAATCCACATATCATGAGAACAGACAGCACTCTTCATTGTGTTAAAAGCATATTCATAATGTCAAATTCCTCTTTCACTCTCATAGACAAAAACTGGTGTCCCATACTTTGGTAATTACAGACATCCTACAATAGGTTTGTGAAAACACATTTACAAGTTAAATTATTTTCAAACCTTCCAAAGTAGAGCTTCTTAATAACATATGCACTCAGCAAACCAGCCTGCAGCAGATGAGAATCAAATGTTATCAACTTATCATCACATCAATCAATGATCAAAATATCTTATACTGTACTAGGGGAGAGAGACTCACGACGACTCCAAGGAGAGTGCTCAAGATAAATAAGTACAGAAAGTTTCCAAATAATTGCAGAACCACCAAAGAGTTTATGTTAGATAAGTCAAAGTTCTGAACTGCATTGAAAAGGACAATGGACGTGGCATCATTTACAACTCCTTCCCCAAAAACTAGACTGTAGAGTAGAGGTGTTTCATCCTGATTGAGTACCTATATAATCAACAAAATACATAAGGTTGGGTAAAAATGTTTAGTACTCCAACCTCCCAAAGGTATGACAGCGGTATACTTACTTGCAAAGTGCACACAGAATCTGTTGCAGAGAAAATTGCTCCAATTGCTGGATACAGAAATAGACAGATTGATTAGGAGACAGAAGCAGAAATCATATCACCATTTCAAAAAACAACCAACCAAAAAAAAAAAAAAAAAGGAAGAGGAAGCAGGAGTACCAAGATAATCTCCTAACTCGAGAGAGCCAATATTCATTTTTTTGAAGATGCCAATAGCTCCTGGTTAAATAAAAAAGGATATTCATTACTAATAAAACCATCATGAAAACAAGTCAGTAGAGTTTTGTCTACCTGTGTATTATAAATTTACCCTCACACCCTTGAAATGACAAATCAAGAGAACATACGTCATACAAGACCTTTGACATTGTTGCATTTTTTACTTCTTTATTTTTACAGAAAAAATTAATGTGACTATCCGAATTTCATGAGGTAGAGCACTATTACAAGTTTATGCATGGCTAAAAGTGTAAGGAACAGCAACAGTCAAGGAAATGTCATAGGAAACTGCTACAAATCAATGAGGTAGTGTTATAAGTCATTTCAAACTGCTGCATGCTAAAAGACTAATTGCTATAAGTAGCTTCATGCCTTCATCTGTGAATCGGGTTTGGGTCAAGAGGATTCAGCATATCTATCAGGATTGAATCCAGTGTAGCAACCACTTGGCAACCTTGTCAAGATGCTCTAGAAGGAACATCATTGTTACATGACCCACTCTGAGGCTTAGGGGAGCTGCTAGAATATGAGGCAAGGTAAATCGTTTTCTAAGAACATAAAACTAGATTGAGTGTCCAATGTACCCAAGAGAAGAAGAAGAATAAAAAAAGAAAAGTAAAAGTACTTCATATGTACAATCTTTTCTACACTCAATAGCAATTGAGGAAGTGGAAAGTGAAGTTAGTATTTAAAACTTGTAAAGGAAGATCTCAGTGTAGCTATTCTAGCCACTTCTCCTAAGTGTGTATCAAGCTATCAGCTAAGTAACACTGAAATGCTTTCCATGGCAACATTGAACATTTACTTTTGTCTGACGACAAACAAGCTCCACAGGGATGCAACAGAAAGAAATATGGATTGAAACAACTGGATAGAGAAAGAGACTGGAATGTTAATGATGATGATTCAGAAGTTTTAGCTTACTTAATAAAAATTACAAGGAAATGAGGAATACATGTAGACAGAGTAGCTTACCCAATGATATGATGATGAAGGATATCAAGGTACCAAGTGCTCCAAAAAGCATAATAGTTGAGATATTACGAAAAAATTGCTTCTTTTTCACCTGAAACCTGTCAACATTGCAAAGGGCGAAAATGAAAATGAGTAATTGATGCAATTTAAATAATAGTAGCAGCCAGTTAAAACAAAATATATTAGATAATACTGCTTCAAAGAGAAAATTTGTGTGATTGATGAAATAAGGCTTCAATGAGAAAAAGTGTGCAAACTAACTCAAAATGTAATGTAAAGTTTGCAAAATGAAGATAAAAGAAACTATTATCAGATACAATATAATTGATAACCACCTAAGTTCTTGCTAAAAAACAGACCTCTTGAGAGATTATCTTAAATTAAACAAAATTTTCAACTTTAGATATTTGGTCATTTTCTATAATACTCCATAGCGGCAGTGTGACATAATAAATTTTATATATAGGAAAAGAGAAAACCACATTTTCCAATTCATTAATGCTAGTGGCCTATTTGTTTCTATGCCACCCCCTATTCTGGAAGCAAAAGATTCGGTACCGTTTGTGAACAAATAATAAATGGAAACAAAAAAGTGGAAGAGATGCGTGATTTTCAAAAATCTCCCTATGTGATTTTCAACTTCATTGATTGCAATGGCAGAAAGTTAATGTGATGAAAACCCTGCCAATCCAAAAAAAAAAAAATGACCTAATTATGCACCACTTTGGCAGAATTTCTTAAACCATAAGCACAAAGGAAATGTTTGACACCATTAAAAAAATGAATATATTTCACTGAGTACAAAAGTCATCTACTATAATAAAATCACATAAAAGACAGCATACCCGGCATTAAAAATGATTGGTGGAAGAAGATAGATGAAGAAAAGATCTTCACTGAAAACTAAAATATGCGAGCTTGTTCCTCCGGAGGTAAGTAGAATAACAACACCAGTACATATTCCCTGCCAGCCAGAAAACCAAAATACATGAAAAAAAAAAAAAAAAAAAAAAAAAAACAGAACTTAACTAATTCTCAACAGCAATCAAGCAATCAATGGACACTGGCACACACACACAAACACTAAACATTTCAAACTCACAATCATGAGAGCAGTAATGGATTCATTCATCCAACGGCTTTCTTCCAAGAGATGGCCAATAATGATACACGCACAGATAAGAGCCACAAATATGTTTATGGACACCACTGAGCCATGATCGGAGGTCGTTAACATATTCATCTTCGACAACAGTGTCCCAACGTCAACTCCCATTTTCCCAACTCCTTTTACAAAATCTTCAGCAATTCACCACTAAACAAGCAAGTTTCTCCAGCACTTCAACTCGAAATTCTCGCAATTTCATACGGTATCCGCTCCTGTTTTCCACAAAATCAGAAACTGAAACAACTTTAATATGCACTCAAGGGCTTATACACATATCACGTGCATATACAACAGAGATTGAACTGCTTAGATCAGAGAATCACACGAAACTTCACAAAATGAAGCGTGCACTTCACTTCTACAAACACAAACACGTACGAAGCTGAAGTACTTACCGGAGCAAATCGGACTCAGAGCAGCGCTGAAAGCCTGAAACAGAGCTAGAAAAACACCGCGAAGTTCAACCGGATCTCAAATTGGATGAAATCCTCAACAATCTGTTGAAAACTCCAGCCACGGAGAAGCCAAATCCTGAAACTCCAAAAAACTTTGCTTCTTCTACAGTCACGAGCTTTTAGCCTCTTAAAAGCGAATTTCGCCAAATCACTTTCGAAGGAACCGATTCCTCTAGAGAGAGAGAGAGGAAGAATTGAGTAATAAGCAGTCAAGAGGAGAGAGAAATGGAGGAATATATAGTTTGGCTGGCATGGAGAAAGAGACTCAACTTCAAAACCCAGAACGGCGATCTCAGCCACTCTTTGAACCCCGTGGGACAAGTGGCAGCGCCTCAATTGTTGATGTTGTGCTATGGTGGGACCCATTAACCCATTCTGTCTTTTATGTTTCAAAAAATCTGAAACTACTATTAGCTATTTTATGATCCGCTTAAATTAAAATGTTCCGACAATTTTTAAAAGCCCTTTGGTGGGAAAAAAGGAATTAAGAGAGAAAAGAATAAGATATGAATAAAGTAATAATTACAATTATATTATTTGATAGAAAAAAATAACAGAAATAGGAGAGGAGATATAAAAACTAAAATAGTATTGTATAATAATATTAATAATAACATTCAAAGAGAATATGTCATTTTCCCTTTACATTATATGGATGAATTCATTGAATTGCAATTTATTATATTGAATGAATTGTAGTTCCATGGAGTTGTAATTCCCGCTAATCAAACAATGTAGTTTATCATTTCATTTCATTACAATTGAATTTCAATGTAATTTATGCCAACCAAACACCCCCTTATAGAGTTTAAACTCTGTACTCGTAACTAGTAAGATATTTTTATCACGTGAATCATATTTAAAAGGGTTTTACTGCATGAATTTTTAATATCTGCTTCTTCATTTTTTTTCTATGCAATTATATGTTTTAAATTATGATATATTTGAATGATAGTGAAAAACTTAATTTATTTAAAAAATAAATAACGAAAAGATTATGAAGAAGCAGAAGAGAACGTGGCTGCCAATAAGACCATCATTGTTCGGAATAACGCGTGGAATATAAAAACATCCCTTAATTACAGCAAATTGCCAAAAATATGTACTGATTTTTAACAAAACTTAAATTAAATATATAAATTTAAAGATACAAATAAGATTTTTAACGCCTAATTTTATACATTTAGGTTTTAATATAGACAAAACTTGTATGATTTCGTTCTAAATTAGATAACATGATAACGATTTGTTTAAATATATTCAATAATAAACATACATTCAATACTGAGTCAATATATTTAGTTTTTTTAAAGATATTAAAATTCATCGACATGGTATCCCATGTCATCTTTTATTCTTTTATATATTTTACTATATAAAAGTTAATCAATTTTTTTAAGTAAAATTCAAATGAAGATACTTGTAGGTATAGATGAGAAGGTGTGAATCTCTTATAACTTAATAATATGTTGTTTTTCATTCGTAGTCCTTTGGTGATTAGCCCGGATTCTCATGCGCTAAATGCAATGGTCTTTTGTGCTTTAGGTGAAACATAACGGTCTTTAGTCAAGTTCAAATATACCGCTACTTCAATAATAAGTGAATGTTATGAGTTGGACTTCATAATGGACAACAAAAAGCTAGATTTTTAAAAATGCCCAACTAAAAGTATTAACTATCAAGATTTTAAAAAAATAAAAATAAAACACGTCACAGCAACATTTTAAAAATATAGACACGTTTGGTAATATAATTAGCTTATCAGTCAATTTTGACTTGTTTGACTTGATTAAATAACCATATGAATGTTGATTGATTATCTTTTTGTAACAGCTTAGTGCTCTAAAACGCTAAAATTCAAAAAGATGCTCAAAGCAGATTTTTAGATAAACTTTTTGAGAAAGTCATTTTGTATGTAATCAACTATCAGCTAACAATTAATTTACCAAATATTTTTTTAGAATTAGCTAATGCTATCAATTTGTCAAACTCACTAACCTACTCAGGTAAAAATATCATTTTCCAACATTATATTTGCCACCAAGCAGACGACTATGATACCCGTACGTCATTCAATCCCCGCAGCCATTCTCCCCCCAAGTTTCCAACATTTGCCACCAAGCATTTAATAACCTAAGATAGCAACAGGAATGATGAAGAGAAGATGTCTTTTCCAATACGAGGAGAAGAAGAGAATTCATAATTGAATTGTTGTAGTTAATTGCAACATGTTACAAAACAAAACTAGTGTTGAAAAATACGTTAGGCGCTCGATTTTTAAAATTATTTTAAAATTTTTTTAAAAATTATTTGTTAAAATAAATCGAGATTCGACCGTTTAGATCGTTTAGGAGGCCACTTAGACGCTCAGCCACAGAGAAAGTCGATTTCAGTATTTCTCGACGCGATCCAGTACTACCTAGGCGCAATTTTTGCAACAATGAACAAAACGTAACAAAGACTAGGTAATTGAATTGAATGGAAAAACATATGAGATCTACTTGTCAATTCAAAGCGGTCCATCTTGTATAAGCAGATGCCCTTCTCTCCTCCACCACATGTGATATGGTGATAATCGGATAAGCTAGCACTGCCTGCAAGCTAGGCTTGCAGTTTTCTGTCAAGGGCTCATGGCCGACCCGGCATCCATGCCCACCATTTCTTGTCCTTTTTCTATTTATTATCACTAAACAAATCTTCAAGGAAAAAAACAATAGACTTTACCAGCCGGAGAAGAAATCAAATAAAATTTTAAAATGGACCCATGTTAATATTTTAGCGGATGAGCAGCAACACTTAAAAGTTATATGATCTTTTAGTAAAATTACAGGCAATATAGTGTTGGGGTCTTTATGCGAAGAAGGTATATTACTATATTTCTTCATGGGTCTAAAGGGCAAGTTCAAGGAATCTAAAATTCTAATATTTCAATACTGGTGAAGTCTGAAAATACGAGTTATTAGAAAATAAATAATCTCAATGCATTGATCTAGTGGATGATAAGTTTCATTTAAGACTTGCTTTTTAGTGGCAGGATGGGAGTTTGATTTCGCTAACCCCTACAAACATTGACGGTTTGAGTTTGAGTTTGAGTTGAGCTTATTAAGCACATTAATGTATAGTTTTGTGTTGAATTTTAAAAGCTAGATTGACTCAATTTCATAAGTGTATTTATACTGAGTCTCAAAATTATATTAGCTTGATCTGATTTCGAAAGTGTACAATTTGATTTTGACTTTTGAAGCTAAATTTAATATTTTTACCGGTCTCATAATGTATTTATAGGGTTCAAAATATAATTTGTTAAAAGTCATAAACTTTGGTTATTTAAAAAGAAAAAATAAAATCAAAATGGGTGTTGGACTATGATTTGATAAATACTTGCCAGTTGTATTATTGAGCAATTGACAGATGTTTTAACCTGTCAAATCATGTTCATGTTTTTCTTGTCCCACATGTAAATTTATGGAAGAATGCATGGATCCATGGAAAGTTTGAAACCCTTTATCTGCATTCTTCGTTAAGGTTCGGTGTATTCGGACAATTTACAACTAGGAAAAGTCATTCAATTTCATATGACATTTGAATTTAAATAAATCATTTCAATTCAACGAATAGGTAATAATTTAATTACAAATAATATACAATTAAGTTCATGTGGAAGGTCATTAGATCGAGTCTCAATGGAGGCGTTGTTGAGTCTTTATGCTTCATTAAGTTGAGAAAGTATATTTAAATAGATACTACAATGTAATAGAGTCAGTAGCATTAAAAAAAAAGTTCAAATATTATACATTTAACAAGTTATTAATATTTATATGAATTTATTTAAGTGTTAGATTTAAAAAAAAAAAAATCACTTTTTTTCTTATGAAGACAACCGATAAGTGTTGATGACTAATTTGATATATCAATGTATGATAATTAATGGTTAAAAAATAACGGGATAAATTTTATAAATATTAGTATAATGGAATTAACTTAAGAATTCTATGCATATATTTCTTTAATGTAATAAAACTAATTAGATTAAATATGTTCATTTTACAAACTTGCACCACTAACCCAATTATACATGAGATACTATAAAAAAAAAAACAAAAAAAAAAAAGGACAAGCAAAGAAGACGCAGACAATGACAAACATATCCAAAAGCAAATTAACAAAACTTAGAGTAATTTCAAACAAAAGTAGTATCTACTACCTAATACCATGCCAACTACAATAAGCATTTAGATAATTGTTTTTAGAAAAATGCAAATCAAACATTAATTTTAATGTAGACTATAATGAACTTCTCTTATATAATGGTATACGTTGAATTACTTATTTAAATATAAGCATTGACATTAAATCAGTCGTCGTATAATGCGCGTGTAAAATTGGTAATAATAATAACATGGATCAATTGCACTAATGGCTTGATTAAAATAGATTACTTGAGCCTAGACCTCGTGGTTTAATGACATCCGGATTGGACTCCCATATGGGAGGTTGTAAGTTTGAGCCTCAGTGGAGGTGTTATTGGCTCTTTGTGCTTCAGTAGGTTGAAAAAGGCGTTATTGACTTTTTTGTGCTTCAACAGATTAAAAAAATTGTTATGAACAGATACTACATTATAATAGAGTCAGTATCATTCATAAAAAAAAAATAGGTTATTTGATTCTTAAAACCAATAATTTCTTATGGTAGTATTTTAAAAAAAAAAAATGATTAAGGACCTTGGAGGAATTTTGGTCGTTTCAGGAATCAGGACTTAATGACTTATTATAATTTTGGGATAGATTCTATCTCATCGCCGTTGGTTCTGTCGGCAATCAAATCCCAGCAAATTATTCACTAGTTTGACTTCAAAATTTAAGCCTTATTGATAAGACTAGTATTTTATAAATGCACAAAAATATATGTCTAATATTAATATTTAATGTTAAATTTTATTTATATTAAAAATATATTTTTTATAAAATAGTTTATATATTTTTTAAAAAATCATAATTATAGAGAATTTATATTATATTAATAGTATAGTTGATCATTTTAATAATAATAATGGTATGATTAATATTATTAAAATAAGAAGGTTAGAAATGACTAAATTACCAAATATAATTATGGTAATATTTAATTAAAATAAAATTATTTCTTATATAAAATTACCCAACAGAGCATTTGGGAGGATGTAAATTTGGTCATTCTTTCAAAGTTTCATCTTTATAACCAGTTGAGCTGCCCATGCGGATAA